AACTACTGCTGTAGCCCCCGATGGGTTCCATCACCACGGTAGGAGCAACGCAGTCAACCTAACCGCATGCTTTTGTCGCTCCTTCCGATGCCTTCAATCGCCCGCCGCGTCATGCTCAGTTCATCGACACTGGCGCTTTCTGCGCCGTGTACGCGTGCAAGTACCGGGGGTGGAGCGTGGTGGCCAAACGCGTACGACAAGACCTACCCCTCTCCGAGCGGAGAGCGGCCCTGGCCAATTTGTGGACAGAGTATGACTGCCTCCGGTCTCTGTCCCACCCAAACATCGTCGACGTCTACGGCATGTGGTGAGAAGAGTAAAGCCGCTCCTGGCATCCTACGGTAATATGTGTCATGCATACAAGTATGCACGCTGATGTTGCTTCCGAGCGTTGGAGCCGGCTTGCATGTAGGAATGCCGCTCTGTGTAAGACACCACCATGTTGCAGCGGTTAGGCCAGCCAGGTTCGACGTTCAGACGATACCTACCGCTACTTCTGTAGAGCTATCAATGCGGACCATGCCGACCTGCTCGATGCCCCCCCCGCCCCCCCCGAAATTGTCGTAAAAGTCGCGTGAGATGTCGCGAAGACTACGACGATTGGAACGAGAGAGACGTCTGCCTGCTGCTGGAGAAGCTGGCTTTCGGAACCGTGGGACACCTGTTCGAGACAATCGTGCCCGTGGACAAGAACCTTAAGACCACAATGGCCCGGGCGCGGAAGATGAAGATGGTTCCTTTTCGTTGGTGAGCGTTTACCAATCAATGAAGTGTGCAGTTTTCTTCGAAACTGGTATTTTTCGTTGTTCATTGGTTGTTGCACTGTATGAAGCGAAGCAAGAACTAGCACTTGCACAACACGCGATTCACCGATAGGCGAATGTATCGCGTTTCAGCCGCGGCCAGCATCTTCGCGCGTTTGTGACAGGCAAACGCATTCTTCGATTTGTGACATGATCGTGTCAATTTGATCTGTTTCCTGCTCTTTCCATTCTGTTCTGTATGGCACCAGCCGACTGCAGCGAACTCTGGAGCTCGCGCAAGCCCTGGAGTACGTGCACGGAGGGTCTGGTATCGGCCCCATTATGCACCGCGACGTCAAGAGTGTGAGGGTCCCACGAATGAGGGCGTCGGTGGCAGAGTAGGCTAGTGATGGGCAGAGTCTGGTCGGCCGACCAGGCAACGGCAATGTGCATGTGGCCATTCAATTGCAGTACCACCTTTTCGACCAGCGGCAGAGCATGTCTGTTCGGCTGGTACGCCTTGCCTTGCTCGGTGCAACGGGCAAGGTGGAGACAGCGCCTACCTTGGGGAGGGGCGTGTGCATGTTCCACCGACTAGTGCCTCTACCCAGACACAACCGTCTGCCTTTCTGCCGGTTTGCATCATATTTGTGTGTTGTTGCAATCGAGCGAAAAGAAAGGGCGAAAGCGAGCGGATATGTTGAGACGGGGACGAGATAACATGCATTCTTCCGTCCAACACACGTGGGACCAGGTTTCGACGCTCCCCTGAAAGTATACTCAAGATGGAGAATGGCCAAAATCGACTCACGAATCGTTCCAATGTTGCCTTGATTCCTACAGGTCAATGTTGGGTTCGCGCAGAATGGGCGCCTCAAGCTCATGGGTGAGTCCATACCGTCAACGTACGATAGGCAGATGCCTTCAATAGCGCTCAATCAAAGCGATTGAACATGTCGTTGGAGGGGCACAGGGGGTGCCGCAAACATGATTGTTTTGACCGTCAAACCACCAGTCGTCAGTCGTGGCTACCTTTCGCCATCATCTTCTTCGCGTGCCTCCTGACCTACCCACCGTATCTTGTGACGTTGTATTCTGGCAGACTTCGGACTCTCCAAGAAGGCTCCGCCCGGCGGTGAGGATGATGACACCTACAAGGTGAGGCACGTCTCCGGCGGCGTTAGCGCGTGTTCCTGGGGCGATTTGGAGCTGCATTCGGTTGTCTTGTTTGCGACAGGACTGGGCCCGTTAAAGTGCAGGGGTGTGTCCAGTGTCCAGAGATTTTACCTGCGCTATACCGGGCACCTGAACTATTCGGAATCGAGGAGCATATAGGTTTTATGATACCAGCTTTACCTTGTGCTAGCAGATGTCACCGGCACTATACCGGGCACCAGCACTATAGAGGGCCCAGTACTGTAATTCTTTCGTCGATCGGCAAATCTCGTAGATATTTGGGTGTGCGTACGATGTGATGCACTGTTGGTATGCGTTTCGATGAGGCGTGCGGTGCGTTGCGGTGCAGTTCATGCAGCGCGATCTTTCTTCGGTGTGGGTGCGGTGCGATGCGCGTCAAAGACGCGGTCTGATGGGTGTCGGTGCTTCCCTCAGAGTGGACTTGCACGCTGTGTCTTGTTCTTAACGTTCTTAACGTTTTTCATCAAAGCGCCGAGGCGTTCAAAAGTTTTCAACACGGCAAGGTAATATAACGAAGGGGGGGGGGGGGG